CCCCAAAACCCCAAAACCCCAAAACCCCGTATATATAAATAATAAATGAAAGATCCAATAATAAATAATAATCTCCAAAAAATATGAAGTGATTTTCTTCCAACCAAGACATCTGGGCTGATGAAGACCAGCTTTTATCTGAAGATGAATGCTCTCCACAGATTCCTAAAATCACCAAGCAATTTCGAAATACTCTGAAGAGCAATAAAGGAAAAGCCAATAAAGCTGACTTTGAGATCGTAAAAGAGCATGCTTATCATTCTGAAAGATTATGTGAAAAAGAGGGCTTCAGATTCTCTGCTCCTTGTTTGTCTAAATCTCTGTTCAAATTCAGCAATCCAAGACACTCAAAACAAAAATCCCAAAATTATGGTTGAACTCCCTCGTTCTCTACATCTAGGATGCAATCAACACAGCTGAGGAGGATCCCTTCGAGTGACATCCTCAAGAGCCTTAAAGCCTAGTTTGCCAAAACCCAAGCAAGGGACAACATATTAATTAATTACTAAATATTTCTAAAAAGCATTTCAGACTTTTCTGAGATTTGGACATACCTTTATGATGGGGTTGAGTTAGTTTCTATCAGTGTTTATTGAAATATAAAGCAGCATAAAGATTCTCACTAGTCATGAAAGCTTAGCCTAATCAATTAGACTCTGTTCAACAATAAAATAAAAGGAGTGACTAAATGAAGTTATTCCCCTCACATTCCATAAGTTTAAACCGTTTGGAAGTATTCAAAATGGTGGAGGAAGCTTAGATGTGCCTATAGCCTTAATGTTTCCCCAGAGTCTCTAACATTTGCAGACTATTTATATACAGCAATTTCTTCCCACTAGGACATATGGAAGCTTAAAGTCCTAACATTTATTTGAAAGTCAGTAGTTTACTACCTTTCAGCTGGTCATTTGAAGATTTCATAAAATTTAAGAAAAAGATTCCTAACTATAGCTAGAGAGAGCTTTGGCTTGAAATCTTTGGCTTAAAAGTATAAGAAAGTTATGCCTGAATTATTACGATTTAGAGATAAATTTACTTACTTTTTGAAAATAATCAAAATTTTTAAAGAGATTATCGAGAGCTGTTTTGATAATTTTGGTAGAAGATTAATGAATGATTGAAGATTAAGGGTGATGTCCCTTAGTGAAGCATCTGTAGATCTCTTAGATCCTAACAAAGACTTCTTGAAAGAAAATTTTGAGAAGAAATAACTCAGCATGCCTTTGTATCTCCCAAAATTGATTAATTATCTGATGCAAAATTATTAAAAATTTGGAAGTATAAACCAAAATAAAATTTTGCAAAGATTAAGAACTTATGAGTAGTTTACTAAAGCCTTCAAGCAAGTACTTCTGTTCTTCTCCTTTATACTATTAAAGCCCAAAGAAATAGGATAATGAGAATAACTCTATAATCAGGTGTTAGTGGTCCAATCAGAGAGTGGTTTAAATATAGTCTTCGATATAAATTTAGCAACTGCTTGCCAGCCTCACCAAAATTCGTATAAATCTATAATAAGTAAGCCATTTAGTATAAGAAGTCGTAATCCTTGTCAATTTGTCAAAATATTGATCTCCCAAACTGATGAGAGATGGACACAGAGAGACCGTCTCTTTCTAAATTTGACTAAGCATGAGGCAGCAACGTCTGGCCATTTGTATTTTCCAAAACCCTGAAAAATTAGTTAAATTTAAAACTCATTTACCCATGTTGCAGTAAATTTATCAAGTATCAGAGGTTCATTATTTTTCTTCTGAAATTTTCTGGGGCCAGCAGATGGGCTATCATTAAGCTATAATCAATAGAAAATTACCCATTTTCTTGGTAGCCAAGATACATTCTTGCACTAAGGAAATGAAGAGATATGAACTTTTTAAATTGAAAGTTATTAGAAGTTCAGATTCTTGAATCATTTCAGTATTAAAAAGCTTCTGAAGGATCTTAGATGAGCAATATTGTTAAAGTATTAATAATAATTATTAGTAACTCATGGATGGTGGTCTTTCCATAAATTTTGAAGTACTCTGCTTAACTTATCTCCTTCTTTTTATATTACTTTAAATTTTTGGTTTTCTGCACTATCAAAACTTTAAAAAATCTTTCTCTGAAGTATTTTTCAAGAATAACTTTCCTTTGAGGATCAGTTTATTATTGTAAATAAATAATTCTAAATGTTTTTGCTATTATGGATCTAGTCATCTGAAGCTAGAACCCTATTATAATTTTTATAGTAAATGAGCCCTCAGATTACCAAAAGTTGACTGTATACTATGAGCCAAGGTTTTTGCTAGAAATACCATACACTCCAAACCTAACCTATCTCTTCCCCAACCAAACATGAATATCCCATACAGGAAGAAGACCCGAGTCATGACCAGAAGGAACTCTGGAACAGATCCAAGCGGTGAAGGCCGACCAGAGATAGGTCTTGGGGAAGGAGATGAAGTAATGTAGGATTTTGGTGTGGGATGGTAGGTTAGTTTAGGTTAGACACTACAAGGGTTAGCAGTGCTTGGTAGGAAGTAAGTGTTTGGTATGTTGAGAGGAGAAAGTTGGCGGAATTGTATGGTATGATGTCAGCAATGTTGGTGGATTCTTTGGGGGATTTTTTACTGTGAATGTTAGTAGCAAGGCTATTCGGGGATACGACTCAATGCACTTAATCTTCAGTTGGGAATATGTAATCCCGATATTGGACTGATCATGCTGGGGTTTTGGGGTTTTGGGGTTTTGGGG